GAGATAGATAGAGAGATGGAGATCAACACAGCACAAAAAATGGAGACAAACAACATCATACACAATAGATCAACACAGATCTGAGATCTGTCACTAGCCAACCTTCATTTTCTTTCTCTGCCTATCTTTGTGATCCGATCTTCACAATCAACTCGTAAGATCTGCAAGAGATCAAAAAAAGAGAATTCAGAGAGATGGTCTCAGTGGCGAGGCCGCTAGCTTGATGATCGGAGACAGCGACGTTGACGGCAACGAAGGAAAAGGCATCAGAGTCGTCATAATGTTCTTGAGGAGGGAGATCGACGAGATCAGAAACCCTAACAACTCTCTCTTGTCGAAGACAGCGGATGAGGAGGGAGATCGGCAGTAATGGGAGGAAGGAGAGGAGGCAGTGGAGGAGCTACCGCTGACGACGACGCCGAGAGGGGCACCTACAATAGAGAGAGAGGGAGAGGGAGAGAGACAGAGAGAGAGAGAAAGAGAGGCTGAGAGACGAGAAGTGAGTGTGAGTGGGAGTGGGAGAGAGGCTAAAAATGAGACTCAAATAACCCTAAACATATATATATATATATATATGGGGAATATTCGGAGATTATTCAAGGAGGGAACGGGACGGGACGGGGCGGGGCCGGGGGAACCCATCACCGTCCTTGGCTCAAAAATCGTCGGGGATTTAATTTTCAATACCATCCCCCGCCCTATGGGGGGTAATTTTCGAGAAAAACCCGTTCTAATCGAGGTTGGGGGTTCGGGTCCCCGTTGGCCCGGGTCCTTGTTGGGCCGGGTTAAAATTGCCATTCCTAGAGGGATACTTGTTACGTAATTCTTGGGATATCACTGCACCTTATTTATTTGATAGTCTAAATTAATGACGTATTAGAAAAAAATGTTGGTGAAACATAGTCACCGTTTGGTAAAAAAAATTTAGTTGGTTTTTTTGGTGTTAAGACTTTTTTAGTTTGACATTAAAAAATTCGTTTGACATTTTTTTTTGATTTTTGATTTTATTTTTGTGAGAGAAAAAATGAAATAATTATGATTTAAATATGACATTTTGTTTTATTAACTTATTTAGTTTATTTTGTTTTTTATACTTTTTTAGTCTCAATCAACTTAACCAACGAATCCATAATAACTCACTTTTATTAAGAGATTATTTGGAAGGATCTAAATAAGTATATTTTTTGACTTTTTACAACCAAAAAAAAAAATGAAAAGTGATATGATCCAAAAAAATATATATACTTATATAGTGTATCCTAAATAATGCCTAAATAGTTATGATTTCTTACTTGTAAAGAGTACAATGTAGGTAATGCGGCATGTTAGTCCAAGACAATCTAATAATTATTTAGAAAGGGATTAGAGCATCCCCAGCAGATGCCTTAAACTAGCTTTTTGCTATTATAAGGGGTTGATTCTTCAAAAATCCAACCCCATCAGATCCCTTATATGATCCCTTAAATTTAAGATTGCTACAGTGACTTTCCATTTGTAGCGACTCACTGTAGCTCCATCATATCTAATAAATTGTTATTTTATTTCAGCAAAAGGGAAGAACCACAAGCAAAATAACAGCAACAAAGCAGAACAGTAGCAACAGAGTAGCGGAACACAACAGCCTAGGGGCCGGACGTCCAGGGGGTTGGCCGGCTGTACATCCGGGCGGATGACCTCACCTCTGTTTAATTGAATGCCTATGGTGGTGACAAGAGCATGTAGTGTTGCTCTACATGTTCGTCAATGCTAATGGTTTTTCATCTTAGCTGAGCTTCAGGTTTGCATGGTCTATATACACACTTGTACTGTTAGATGTAAAAGACTGAGCAAAGAAAGAAAGAAAAAGAAATTACTCTGTTTATATGGTTCAGTTTATACAAAACTGCTAATCATCTTGGCACAAATAAATTTGTTTTTCTGATAGATAAAAGTTGCAATTACTACTTTGTTAACTGTTTGCAAATAGTGTTTGTATTGATAGTTACATCCTCATTGCTTCATTTGGTAATGCCAATAATAGAGGTAAAAATTCAAAAATGGAACATGGTTAGCTTACAATATCTTATGAGGATAAATATACTCATGTTCCCATTGAATTTGTTTGAACTTCATGCCCTTTATCTAATATAATCACTGTCTGCACTAAATAATTGTTATCTTATGCTATCTGATATAATCACTGCGACACTCACTTTTCTTATGTTCCCATTGAATTGTTGCTCATACCAAATGGTTTCACAAAATGACGGTTGGGCTATTGAAAAAATGACCCTTGTTATTTGAAAAATTCTACCATTTGAGTAGCTGCCCAATTGCTTCAACTGAAATTAATGATGTTGTTATTTGAAAAATTCCACAATTTGAGCAGGAGCCCACTGCCTGAAATTGTAGAGTTGGTTGGCATGTGTTTCTATTATTTTATTATTAAAAAAATATTCAAATTTAAAAGTAATTAAAAAGATTATTTTAATAGAATAAAGAAAGAATAAAGAGTATGATGGGAAAAGTAAATGAAAAACTGATTTCTAAAATAGAGAATGAATTTTTTAATAATATTTTAGGGTAAAATTTAAGAAAACTACTGGGGATGCTCTTAGAGTTGATTGATAGTGATGACTCGAAGGCCAAAAGTAATTTCACAAGGATGAAGAAGGGTATAAAGTAATTTCATAGGTTTAGTTTTTTTCGTGTATTTTATATATGAAAAAAATTAAATTGTTCTAATAATCATAATATTTTCATTTTATTGTGTTTATTTCAAAAAACAATAAATGGTTCATTTTTAAAAATATATTTGTCATCCATTATTTCAGGGACAAATATAATAAAATGAAAAAATTAAGATTATTGAATTAACCAAATTTTTTTCATAAATGATATACACGGAGTGTTCTACAAAATGAACTATTTGGATAATCAAACGGAACCTGCCGGTAGATTTCTCAATTTCAAATCTACATTTGACAGAAACTAAATCATAATTTCTATCGTTCATTAATCCCATTAAGTGAGATTGGTATAATTATATCAAAATTATAAAACTTATTATATATTTTTCAAACCCTAAGAAATTTCGTTATAATTTATCCAATAATTATACATTCTAATTATTTTAAAATTTATTAATTAATAGTCTTTAGGTCCTCGTGACCCACGCCCAAAGTATACTGCCACACTTCTTTAACTCATCAGATTTTCAAAGGGTTTGGCAGGGTGCTGTTGGATTCCTACTGACTCATCACAGCTCTTATTTTAATAAATTAAATCGTTCATATATATAATTTTTCAAGTACTATATATTTGTAAAAAATTATGTTAATTAGATATCGATATTTACGTAATCAAATCAGTTTTGTAAAAAAAATAAACGATGAAAAAATAAATAATTGATAGAAATCTAATCCGATAAAATAACTATCGATATCTAATCAGTATAATTTTTTTACAAGTAATACTCAATAAATTTTACATATTAAACGATTCAAACTATCAAAAACAAAATCTGTGATGAACCCTTAAGGACTTAACAGCACCTTTTTATATCGGACTCCCATTTTGAAAACCGTAAAACAAATATGGAAGATAACGATTGGATGCCCCTAAGCACTGACGCACCCCCACGCATTGATATGAAAATGATATTTATCATTATCAACAATGTTATAGAGCTCTAAAAGTAGAGCTCTAAAAAGAGCTCTACTGAGCTGGCAGTGCCAAAAAAAAAAAAAAAAAAATTAAATCAAAACATAGTAATAAAGAAAACAAATTAGAACTCTTTTAGAACCTTTCTTTTAGTGCTTTAAAACTTTTTATTTTTTTTTTTTTTTTTTTTTTTTTTTTTTTTTTTTTTTTTTTTTTTTTTTTTTTGTAAGACAGGATCTTTTTTTGAGTAAGATAAATAAATGAAAGCAAATTTATTCATTTATTGCTTATCATTAATTTATTTATTATTTAGAAAATTATAAAATTTATTTATATCAAAGCATTAAAAAAAACTCAATAAGATGTTTTGAGAAGATAGATAAAAGTTAATTTTTTTAATTTTTAATATATTTTTTTAAAAATATGTAAAAAATGTGAAAGATGATATGATTTAAAATGGGTTAAAAACTGATAAGTGGACTTTTAAGTCACTTCTTAAAAGAGGCCTTAGTATGATGACATGGGGTACAAAAAATTATTTAGTAGTGATTTGAAAAGTTGGTTAAAAATTAATTTTTTTTAACTTTTTTTAGTTTTTTTTGTCTTTTTACGTATAAATAATATGAGAAATAATATGATTCAAAATAAATTAAAAACTAAAAATTAATTTCTTCTTTTTTTCTTTCTCAAATTGCCTGTTAGTGTTCTTGGAATACTATGGAGTGTTTTGAAAAATTAGTAAAAAGTTAATTTTGACTTTTTTAATCTATTTTATTTTTTTGTGAATAAAAAATATAAGAGGTAATGTGACTAAAAATGTGTAAAAAATTAAAAACTAACTAATCCTCCTCCTAAAAGACCCCTACATAACGATATTTCTTATCAATTATATCAAAATAATATAAAATTATAAATTTTATCTCTTTCATCAATCACAATAATATTGAAGAAAAATAAGTGAGACTACTAAAAGAGAAGTATTAATAACTCTAATGTTGGTATGAATCTCACATAGTGGGATGTTTTACTTTTGTATTTTTTTTTTAAAATTTTCTACCTTATTAGTAGTGATTTAATGGTACTAAATTAATAGTATCAATGACTGCTATAATATTGAAGTACCGCATGTGTCCAGGACCCACGGATAATTTTTCATGGGTTACATTTCTTTTTTTTTTTTATGGGACGGTGGGGTTCTTTTCTAAATAATAAATTAATTAATTAAAAAGAAAGCAAATTATGTTATGCCATTGCACCCATAATAATTTTAAAATTAATTAACATACAACCATTATCATTATCAATAATTTTGTAGGTAGAATCTTATGACTATTCATACAGTTCTATGATTTGATGTATAAGTCTCTCCCACCAATTTCATCTTAAATCTTGATTGACGAATAAAAAATTGGAAAGTGATTCGTGCCTCGACAAAGTGCGGCGCGATTGCCTCGACACGTGTAATTCACTCTCTATTATCATTCCTCACTTGCACTTTACTTACTGACCCAAACCCATTCCCAAAAACTCTCAGCCTCTCTCTCACATCCTCTAGGTCTCCTCTCTACTGAAACAGCAAAAGTGATTCAGTTCAGCAAGCAAACCAAAGTGATTCAGTCCGGCAGTGGAGGGCTTCTGGCCACATTGCTTTGTTTACCCAACCCAAGCCCTAGATCCTCAAATCTCCTTCATTGACAACCAACAAAAGGTCAGTTTTTTTTTTTTTTTTTTTTTTTTTTTTTTTTTTTTTTTTCCCATTTAATCCCCATGATGAAAAGCTGTGTGATTTTTCAAAAGTTCTTGTTTGTTATTCTTGTTTTTCTAGAGTGCCAACCGTTGAGTGCCACCGATTTTTGCTTTTATTTTTGTATTTTTTTTTTAATTTTATAAATCCTTTCCATTTAATCCCCATAATGAAAAGCTGTGTGATATTTCAAAACTTCTTGTTTGTTGTTGTTGTTTGTTGTTGTTGTTTTTCTGGAGTGCCAATTGTCAAGTGCCAAAAGAATTGAAAGTAAGTGTGATTCTCTCTAGACTTACATTTTGCATTGCAAGTGTATGATAAAATGCCTCAATGAAATGTTTTGTGCTTCCATGGGCCATTTTATATGAAGAATCGTCGCCTTGCCATGAATACTTAATATATAAGTCTCTAACATAAAAGAAAAAAAAGAAGCAGCAGCAGCTAATCTCCATTGAGTATAATTTTTCCAATATATATCAAATGGAACTTTATAACACCAAAGCATTGCTAAATAGATGAAGTAGTTAATATTGAAGGTTTAATAGTACATGTTGTCAAATGTATAATAGGTGAGTGCTTTCCTTACCTCTCTTTCTCCTATAACAATACAATCACGCCTGCTTCCCTATTACTCTACTTATATCCTCTAGAGCTTTAAGAGACAGATAAATTGGGATACAATTCTAGGTGTAGATATAACACCATAACAGTGCCAATATGTTGTGCAAAATTAAGATAGATGATTGCTTCCTTCCTGCCTACTGCTCTTTCAAGTAAAATACATGATTGCATTGAGACTTATTTAACAATACCATCCTTATTGAGAATTATGTTCTTGATTTGAAGTGCGCCCCCCAATTTGCATTGGGGGGACTTTGATTGGAAAAGTAAATTGGATTTTGCAGTAACTTCAAAATTATGTGCAACCATATTATGTGCAGGTTGGTTTAACCATATTATGTGCAGTAACTTAAGTATATTTGGTTTAACCATATTATGTATACTTAAGTATATTTGGTTTAACCATATCATGTGCAGTAACCATATTATGTGCAGTAACTTAAGTATATTGGTTTAACCATATTATTTGCAACCATATTATGTGCAGTAACTTAAGTATATTTACACCAAATCTCAAGCTAATAACCAGATTGGTTTCAGTAAATTCAAAATTATGTGCAACCATAAATTATGCTTTGTGCTTCCATGGGCCATTTGACATTATTAATGGAGACATTTTTTTTTTTTTTGTGCTGAATAATTTACTAATTCCATGGGCTATTTGACATTATTAATGGAGACGTTTTTTTTATTTTTTTTGCTGAATAATGTACTAATTATGTGATAAAATGCCACTATTAGGAGTAACATGTCAATGGCTTACACCTCCACTAGTTCAACCAACGATGGTCGCCTTTTCGAAAATCGAGATTGCAAATGTGGAAAAAAAATAGCCATTAAGATTGGAGAAGAATGATTCTGAAAGAAACAATGAAGCTTTGCAGAAATTTGAGCGAAGATTGGAGCGGCTTGAGGCAAACGCAGAAGCTATGAAATTGCTTTCAATGGCAACCGTAGTGTGTACTAGTTTTAGCTTCCTAATGGTGTTAATATGTTTAATGTTAAAATGTATGTTGTAAACTTAGATGTTATTGTGCTGGTTTAGCTTTAAAATGAATGAATGTTTTAGCTTTTCCTTCTTGTTGAATAGTCCTTTTCTTGTGAATGAATGAATAAATGTTTTTGTATAGTAAATTAACAGGGTGTTGAATGAATGCTAGCAATTGAACAACCATTATATGCATGAATTTATAAATGTTTTTGTTGGTGGAAAAAAAAATGTATGCTTCTAGGAATAGTGGGGTTTGCTGGAATAAAAAGTTTTATGTTGTAAACTGTATGCTTCCAGGAAAATAGTATTGGACTCTCAAAATCACTCATACAATTTGAAAATAGTATTGGACTCTCAAGATCACTCTCAAAATAGTTTTGTGCTGGTTTGTTCATTCAAGATCAGTCATACAATTTGAACAAACTAATTCAAGATCACTCCTTCATGAACAAACCAGTTTAAAGCATTACACAATTTGAACCAAAACTAACTCTCAACATTCACCATATTTCTTGACAAACAACTGTAACCAAAATTTAATGAAGCCAAAACCCATTCAGCATTTGGAACATTCAGTATCAGCATTCGGAACATTTAGCATTAGTCATACAATCTGAACAAACTAATTCAAGTACCCTCATTCATAATCATGAACAAACCAATTTAAAGCATTACACTACAATTTGAACCAAAATTGAATGAAGCCAAAACCCATTCCAATAATAAGTCACATTCTAACCATTCGAATAATAAGTCACCTTCCAACCATTAACATTTCTACATAATCAAACCAAAGTATCCAAAGCTCACAAAACAAAGTCATAAAATTACTACTGCAAAACTAAAAATAAAATGGGGCATTTGGATCCACATCCTCTATATTAAAGTCAACAAATATTGAAGAACTTTGATTGGTTATATTGTTCACCATTCCTGAATGACTAAGAGATGCACTTCCAATATTATCCACCATTTGCGTTGGATGTGTTGGAGCAAGTTCTGCACTTGCAATATCCTGAAGAAAAAACAATCACGGTTATTATAATGTTCAAAAACAATATATGTATAAACCAAAAAAGAAACCAAGAAGAAACCAACAATTGATCAGCATTATCCCACCATTACTGCAGATTGAAGCAAACTACCCTTATTTACAAGTCCTATTCAATGCTAGGACTGTACTTTTTTTATCATCTTCTTTTACAATTTTTTCCGTTTTAAAAATTCACATCATATATACAAGCCTAAGAAAAATAATTATCATAACTCATTTCTAACCCAAACTTAACAGGAAACTGAGGCCAAAACAAAACCAAAAAATGTTAAAAAAAGAAATTAATCAAACCAAAAATTGGACAGGGTAGTATGTATGTCCATGATAAAAGTTTCAACATTTATTTTTCTTAGGAAATTAAAAATAATTTTTTGTCACAAGTTCATTCTCTTGTCAAGAATTCATCATAGGAACTAATTCAATGGGTATGTGCATTTGTAATTTCCCATTGCTAAGTTTAGGCATCTGTTGCTAACTCACTAGCTATTGCATCTGCTGTTGATTTATCATAGAAGCATGCTCACATGTTGCTAACAAACAATGTAAAGGGCTTGGTGATAACCAAACAAAATATTTCTATGTGGACTTTCAACAAACATCTAGAATGCATGAATACAAAACACCAAAATCATGTATCAAACAAATTAAAGCAAAGAAAATTTCATGGACCAAGAAAATTTCATGTATCAAACAAAATCATAGACCAAGAAAATTTCAACCAAGGTAAAGCAAATAATGTGTTTGAAGCAATACCTCGAATCAGTTGCTTCTTGGCCGTTGGAGGCTGAAATTTTCAAAGAAACTGGACGAAATGGAGACTGCTAGACCATGATTGATGCTCAACGATGGTCTTCCTTGTCGTCGGTGGCCATATACTTGCGGGTATGAGATGTGTAAGTGATGGAGTGTGACAATTTTTTATTTTTAAATTAGATGATGTTGTGAAAAACTATTTTTAAATTTGAAAATAGTGGGAGAAATTAAATTTTTATCTTTAAAACTATTTCTCTCATGCACAAAAATTATTTCAGCAGTGATTCATAATAATATAGACTTGTGGGAAATCAATTTTAAGTCACGAATTTCTTTGAACTAATAAAAGCAAGAGTTAAAACCATGAGTTAGTGACTTTCTTTTTTGAACTTATTTTGATATGTAACTGTGAAGAAAAAAACTCATGATGAAGCATATTGACATCCCCACCCCCAGCAAAAACTAACTGGGCAAATTGTTTTGTGGAACCCTTCAAAGTCCCACAGTTTAATTAGTGGGGGACCTTATATACATACATAGATGGATACAACTTCATCGTAGGATTCTAAACTTAAAGGTAGATGTATTAATGCATGTATATTAAATTTTCCAAAAAAAAAAAAAGGGGCAGTAAATTCATATAATTTGATAGGAAAATGCTAAACAAATATGATTTTTATTCAAAAAAAAATGATATAACAGTAAATTGTTGCAATTATCAACTATAAAATGATGAATCTTTTAATTTTTAATGAATGAATATAAATGACATGTTGTATTATGTATGAAATTTTCAGGGAAAAATGCAATTTAGTGGAGTAATGAAAAAAAAAATTGCATTTTTATGGTGGCGTAACTTTCTTGTGTATATGGTGTAAAATCATTCATGTATGTGCTTGATGCAACTTATGACCCTAAGTTCAAACTTAAGACCCTAAGTTGTAATGAAGGGCAAAGAAAATGGAAAAAAAATAAAGTGAATGAATTAGACAGTACCTTTTTTTTTTCTCTCATTTTCTTTTCTTCTATCGTGCAGAATGTATATATCGTATAAAGTATTTTAACATGTGCTTTGAAGGCACACGTTAACAAAATCATTTCTTTTTAGTGAAAGTGGAATTCATAATTTGTTTAGATCTCTTCTGTTTAATTGATTTTGTTAGATCTCTGCTGTTTAATTAATTGATCTCACGTGTTGTTGTATAAGTATTTCATTTTTTATGTTCTCCCATCAAATCGGTAAATAACTAACTGGGATAAGACCACCTATCTATTTGAGAGAAATTGGACGGATAGGTATCATGGTACATGAATACGTCGGTATTATATTTAGAGTTACTTTGATGAGATATTTTTGTGGATGTGTATAGATGATGGATAAGAGTTGGATTGATTTGGCAAATAAGATGTCGAGTGAATACATTAATGGGATTGATGAATTCCTTGTGTTTGCCTACACTAATAGGGTTGAAGGTTCGATGATCAGTTGTCCGTGTAGGAAGTGTGAGAATTGATACCATCTTGTATGAGAAGGTGTACGGGAGCATCTGATTTTGAATGATTTTTTTAAAAAATACAAACATTGGATTAACCATGGGGAATCTTACGTATCTCTGCATGGTAATCGAGAGAATGAAACATTAGCTAATTTAGACATTGGGGATGATATGATTGGAATGATACAAAGGGCTATGGGAAATCCACGTGCCGGTACAAGTGTTGAGGGTAATGAACCACAGGGGCCTGATCCCCATGCATCTGAACCCCAGCTCGGTCCAAATGCAGAGACTGCAAAGTATTTCAAACTTCTTCAAGATGCACAAAGTGAATTGTATCCGAGTTGTCAGAAGTTCACATCTTTGTCATTCATTGTTCAACTTCTACATTTGTAGGTGCTTAATCAATGGACAGACAAGTCTGTTGACATGTTGCTTGAGTTATTGAATCAGGCGTTCTCGTTGGGTGTGAAACTCCTAGACTCGTATTATAAAGCTCAAAAGGTCACAACAGATTTGGGCTTCACGTATGAGACGTGGGATGCATGTCCCAACAGTTGCATGTTGTTTCAAAACGAGGATGCCAATCTTGATAAATGTGTCATATGCAACAGCTCTAGATGGAAATCAAATGGTGATGGTGGTTTAAATGGTCCTAACAAAGGTGGCAAACGAATAGCTGCAAAATAGATGAGGTATTTTCCTTTAAAGCCAAGGTTGCAGAGGTTGTTTATGTCATCCAAGATGGCCAAGTTAATGAGATGGCATGCATAAGAATGAATTGATGATGGTGTCTTTAGGCATCCTGCTGACTCCCTTGCATGGAAAGATTTTGACTGTCGGAATATTGACTTTAGTAATGATTGCCGAAGTGTAAGGCTTGGCTTAGCATCTGATGGTTCTAACCCATTCAGGGCGATGAACATACTTCATAGCACTTGGCCTGTTGTGCTCATTCCATACAACTTGCCGCCATGGATGTGCATGAAACAACCATTTCTAATTTTATCCGTGCTTATTGACGGCCCGAAAGGACCTGATGACAAGATTGATGTGTATATGCAACCATTGATTGAGGAGTTGAAAGAACTATGGAATGAGGGTGTGTCAATATTTGATGCATCAACAAATCAAATGTTTCAAATGTATGCAGCTTTACTGTGGACAATTAGTGATTTTCCTACATACGCAAACTTGTCAGGATGGAGCACTAAAGGCGAATATACATGTCCTTGTTGCAATAAGGAAACTACATTGTGTTGGTTGAAGCATAGTAGGAAACAATCACACTTGGGTCATCGCAGATTTTTACCTACTGGCCATAAATTCCGGAAGGATAAACCCATAGGGGCGGGTTTGGATCGTGGCATTTATCCTTCCGGAATTTATGACCAGTAGGTAAAAATTTGCGATGACCCAAGTATGATTGTTTCTTACTATGCTTCAACCAATACAATGTAGTTTCCTTATTGCAACAAGGACATGTATATTCGCCTTTAGTGCTCCATCCTGACAAGTTTGCGTATGTAGGAAAATCACTAATTGTCCACAGTAAAGCTGCATACATTTGAAACATTTGATTTGTTGATGCATCAAATATTGACACACCCTCATTCCATAGTTCTTTCAACTCCTCAATCAACGGTTGCATATACACATCAATCTTGTCACCAGGTCCTTTTGGGCCGTCAATAAGCACGGATAAAATTAGAAATGGTTGTCTCATGCACATCCATGGCAGCAAGTTGTATGTAATGAGCACAACAGGCCAAATGCTATAAACTATGTTCATCGC